TTCTGTTCCCAGAGACCTGAGCAACAACCAGATATCTGAGATCGCTCCTGATGCGTTCAACGGCCTCAGAGCTCTGAACTCACTGTGAGTGTTGTTTCCTTCCTCTCTCTCTCATCTTAATGCTTTTAATTTTTCTTCTTCTTTATTCTATACAGTGAAACTCAAATGTGTGCATAGCCTCTTATATTGGCAGGTTTTACGGAAGTACAAATAGGATCAGGAATAATAATTTCAAAGCATTGGCATCTGTGTAATGTGGTTAATCCTATCAGGGTGATAATGACAGAAATAGCCTTTTAATGTGGTGAGATACAGTAAATATAAACAGTTTGAAAATAATACTCAGCAAATTTGGATTTAATCACAGCATTTGAATTATGCTACAGTTGAGTGACTCCTCACCTACTAAAGGAAAAATAAGTGTTCTATGTATCCTAATACAGTGGCTGAGAGGTATAAATGCACTGCAAATACAAAAACAGGAAGCAAATCCAAAAATTAAACAACCACACACAAGTAGACTAACGCACAAACATAAAACACAAGCAAAGGGAAAACAGTTTAAAAAAGAAATGCTGCAATCACAGGTTACATAGTTAACATAAATTATGCTAACATACAAAAAAAACACTCATTGGGAAAATGCAAAAATAACTGCAAACTTATAAGCTTCAAATTAGCTCCAGATGACGGATGTGCTCCGGACCACAAGGGGGAGACGATGAGCAAAACCATTAGTAGAGGCATAAAAGGGATAAACTAAGAGATTCAGTTTTTAAAAACAGACTTCAAGAAAAAAATAACTTTTTTTTTCTTTCATCTTCTTGATTGAAGTCCCTATATATTTGCTTCCCCTTTCCAATGGCTAACAATCCGTTTCTGTCATGATTTTATCTAGCGCTCTGACCCACATGCAGAAGACCAAACAGAGAGACCAGGGAAAAGTTTAACAGGTTTTACTGAGAGTGAATGAGATGGGTCCAGTGCTGCTATGAACACTGTTGAACCGGAACTGGAAAGTGAAGGGGAAGATACTGCGGTTAGTTCAGGCTCAGTGGGAAATTAGTGTCTTTGATTTGAAAAAGAGGATTAAGGTTGCAGACTCACGTTTCCAGAAAAAGGTGTCTTTGATTGAATCCAGTCGGTGTGGGTTGTTCCAGTGAATGTCTTGTTCGTTGGAGGGCGGACAGGGTTTACCCAGATTGCGGTTTGTCCTTGGTGAACGGAGAAGCTGACTGCCACTTAGTTTTCCTGCTGTACTTGAATGTGTTATTGTGGAGATGAATCCCCTGCTCAGAGAGACGGCCAAACAATCCTTGGGGGGAAAAGTTGATCCAAACCACAAACTTGAATCCTCAGCTCAGTTTGGTGCTCAGAGAATCCTTTCAGGGGGGAGAAGGTCCAAAACATCCAGTTTGCAGGATGACTTCCTGCCGAGAGGCAAAGACAAAAACAGCAAGGTTAAAAAGCTCAGCTAGACAAAAACTTGGCTAGAGTACCCCAAACTGGCAAACACAGCAGCTTAAGAGTCCTCAGGTAATGAGGCAACGGGCTGCAGGTGTGCAGGGAGGCCCAATGAGGAC